AAAAGAGAGTGTAAATGCAAATAATGAGTAAAATCTTCATTACGTCCGACCCTCTAGAGATAAGGCACGTGACACTCTTTTACTCATCTCTTCCTTGACTTTAACCATCAAAGTTTAATAGCATAAATGCTTCTTACACATAAGCTACTGTGCCAAATTTCGTTTCTTCTTCATTACCTACCTTGAGATATTGAATAATAAACGAAAACGAAATAAATGGCAACATTTATACACACATCCATGGAATATTTTTCCACTTTTTTTTGAATTTTTTGGATTCAGGAGTAGAAAAATGTGTTAAAGTGGAAGATTTTCAAAAAATCCGGAGGATCAAATTTGACAGAATTCTAATATTTTCCCTTGTTATGTATACATAACGGCTGGAAAAGTAAAAATTAAACAAAACATTTGTAAAAGTAACTTTGTTTCTTGGTTTTTTTTAGTTAAAAAAATTAACAACCTCAATTTTGGAGCATGTGTGTATAAGTAAGTGTAAATATAAGCAATATGTAACAACATAATTTTCTATATAAATAAATGAGGATGTTTGTTTGTTTGTTGCTATGCACGCCTACGCCGTTCCACCAATTGCTACGAAACTCGGAAGTTACGTTAGCATACTTCTAACTTAGATGATTTCATCCATTCCATCCCAAAATATCGATTGGATTTCTATGTATCAATTAATTTTTTCCTGCATGCGATTTGCTTGGTTCACACGTACTGCCATCTATTGGCAGAAAATTTAAGAAAATAATGAACTAAATATAGTTCTTAAAAAATATGTAATTTTAAAAAATATATATTATATTTACTTAATTACTGGACAAGTAACAGATAGAACTTGCCTACTTGGAATGGAAAGTGTTACCCTGTAAAAAGTCTATAAGTAGTCTATTTAATTTTTCACATCGAAACACTCTTTTTTAACTCTAATAACTGCTTTTCAGTAGCCGAGTGGATAAAACCACCGAACACCTGGTAGTCAGTCGTGGTTTAGAGCATCGCTAATGAGCCGGCACGTGTTTTTCCGGTGTTCTTCACGTTAGTAACACGCAAATATAGCTAGCTTTACATAAAAGTCTTCGTGGGATGCACTCTCCTCGGCAGATCGCTCGCGTGTCACGTTGTGGTAATCAAATAAACCAAACTAATTCTAATAATTTTTCTATAATCGCAATATTTACGAGGACATACTTCCCACGTAGTTTATACAATCTGTTACAAAAATCTAAACTCTTTACTAGGACATCGCTCGATTTTTGTCGTATCGGGATAAAATTGAGGCGGAGCCAGAAAAAAAGGGGCGATCGTTACTTGCCGGTCATACCGACACGGAAAGGCGATCCAAGAACAAAGCAATCGATTGCGATTGCTTTGTTATGCGTGACTATATGGATTTCATTTTAATGTTTCTTATATTATAGCATTTGATTTATATAACAACAAAGGTTATCTTAGGTAAAGGTTACAAACAAGGCAATCGCCATCGATTGCTTTGTTCGTTTTTCGCGCCTATTTTCCGTTAGGCGTACGCAATGCTGTTTTTATTTTTGACCCCTAGTTCTAATTTCCTTTAGGCGCGCTCAGTCGCATCAGAGAGCACGGATATTGTCACTATAATATCTCTGTTTATCGAAAACGAAGTCAGGAACTCCTTTTTTACATTTAAATGGAGCCTAATTACATTTTTATATTCCTTATCGCAATGAATAGAAAATGACAGAGTTTTATCAAAATTGCCCATTAAATGTTGAGAACGAACTCGATTCTAAAAGCCCATAGAAGGCTGCTAGCAATCGAGGAACAGCGCATGACAAAGTCGCGCCGATTCGTGCGATATCGCTTTGTCGCGCACGCGCATAAAACGACCTTATATCTCGAAAACGAAGTCATGGACATGCCCCTTTTTATTACATTTTTAGATTCCTCATCTCAATTAATGGAAAGTGTCAAAGATTTTGAGAACGAACATAATTCTGTAAGCCATATAGAAGAGGCTTCGCTAACGCTCCACCTCAATTATCACATAAAGGAGTTATTCTCGCATTTTTATTTAAATAAGTCATATGAAGTCCATCACATCCTGTCCATCACTTTTCAAACATTAATAGTTGACCAGTATTAATTAATTAGTAATCGTTGATCATCCTCTCTTCCAGCAGGAAGTCACCAACTACTTTTGGCCGAATTACTTCAACCCCCTTCCGCAAAAGTCGCTTCTTTTTATCGGAACCAGCGCATGGTGGCATTCGATTAGGAAAATTACATAATAGAAGAATACCGGCGAGCACAAAATATTTTTAAAGTGGTTTTCGAGGATGCAGAGTTTAAATATTTGATCAGTTTATCGCTAAATTTGATTCGTTGACAGATTACCGTTTGATATTCGACTGTGAATCGTAGAGTTTCTTAGCGTTAACATAAAAAAAAAAGAAAAAAAATATGATATCTGAAAAAATTTAAGATATATTTTCGATTCCAATCTACTTGATCAATGAAATTGTGCGATTTCGTACCATCCGAGTATTGCGAAAAAAACATGACAATGGTAGGCTGAAATATCCAAACTCTTTTTATGGATATCGTTTTAATGTTTCTTATATTATAGTATTTGATTTATATTTACAAAGGTTATCTTACATAAGAGTTTATCACATCGAATGACCAATCTAACACATTTTTTAAACTTGTTTATTCCTCTACTCTACATAATTTAAAGAATTTTTAAAATATGTTAGATTGGTCACTTGGTATGATAAACCCTTACGCAAGATAACCTTCCTAGCTATAAAATCAAATACTATAATATAATATAATAGAAGGGTTCGAAGTACGAAATAATCTAATAAACTTAGTGTTTGTTGTTATTTTATGTCCAGGCAACGCTGGGCTTACCTGATAGTTGCTTATATATGCACTAACATGATCTAACCAACATTTTATATGTAATTTAACATCACTAGAAAAGCTTGCAGTAATAAAATTAAAAAAAAAAAATAGTATTTTTTATTTAGGACATGATATTATTAACTCTATTCATCTGCAACAGTGTTTGGTATGCCTAAATATCACATAAGAAATTTTAAAAGTTAAAATAATTTTTATAAATAATAATTCAAATATTTTTATAATAGCCAAAAGATCTTTTCTCTTCTTAAATTACTACTTTTACATAACTGAGGTAAAGAGCATAAGGATTAATTCGATGTCACTTTAAACTACAAATTAGTGTTAAAACTACAGTAACCAATGAAATTCTATTGACGAATTTTCTGTTGTAGGTGAGTATAAAACAGAATAAAAAGTAAGAAAAAGAATATTGATAGCATTTTCTGACATTATGATGAGGAACCAAATCGAATAGAAAAACTATAAAATAAAATAAAATTGATTCTATATAGAAATCTTAATTCCTTATAAAAACTCAGGCCAATGAACTGATTAATGAGGTAACTTTCAGAACTTTCCTCTAATTAAACTGAAGTATTTCTTTAATTAACGATTTTTTTTCCTTTCATATTTAAGATTTCTGAATAGAATCGATCTAATGAATTCTCAAACTTGTATATAATCCAATCTATTAAGATTAACTTCTACTATCCTTCAAAATAATAATAATATTTACGATGAGATAATGCCATTGAAGAAAACATCAAATCTTAAATAAGTAAATAAATAGAACGAGATTCTAACTACAAAACTTTCGAGTCTCATATCAAACTGAAAATTTTAGCACGTCCTATCTGAAACATAATATTTAAACAATGAAGAACAATATAACACGGATATTCATTTCACTTATTACTTGCCGCCATCTGGTGACTAAAATTAACATTTTTCACCAAATCAAATAAGAATGGGGCTTATTTATTTTCAATATACAGTACTGTACATCAGCTACATTATTAATAAATAGAAGAGAGAAAATGAATATCATGAGAGTTTTTTTTATTAGATAATTCCAAGCGAATAAATAAGTACATAAATATTATAAAAATAAATAATAACGTAATGATCATGATACTGTAGTTTTATATTTCTAAACAGAATAAAATTTAGTATATGTACAGTATATTATTTATCTTTTTAATTTGCTATTTCGTAAAATTTCAATATTTTATTTATTGAATATTCTTTTCTATGATTATGTTCTATGAAAACTGTTAATCTCTTCTCACAGAATATCGATTACAACAAAATCTTTTCATGAAAATATTACTTTTTACATTAACTATTTTCTTTCTATAGTAAAAGAAAAGTTATTTCATTTACAGTAAAACCTCGGGTTACGAACGCCCCTGTTTACGAACAAATTTTTGAACGCCATAGTTGCTTCGATTGCTTCGATTCAAATTGCCGAACAAGCTACTGGGCAAGAGCCGTCCACAGACGGTCAACTCCCTATACTTCCTGCGTTAAATAAAATCGACCAATCAACGACAGGACTACCGATTCAGAAGTTGGTGGCGCCAAATCGTCACATGCGACTAGTGTAAACAGGCAGTCGCCTTTTGTTAAGTACTGTACTGTTGCTTTTAGTGTTAATCAATTTTTGTTTTTAAATGTGATTACGAAGAGGGCCATTTCTCCAAACCTAACGTGGGTTCGGTCAGGCCCACTACGGAAGCGGTAGGATGTTGAGGGACAGGACACTGATCATAAAAAATTCCTGAAGATTTGATTGCCAAAATTCTGTGCCGGGTTTCCAGATAGATTTAGCTCAAATTCCATCGGGTATTACTTAATAAGAATATCAAAATACAACGTTTACACCATAATATTAACATAATATCTATCTTTAAAATTTCGCTTAAATAACAGTCTCCTAATTCATTAAATTCTCTTAATTTCAATATTGAAGTTACTCAATTTCATAAACGTGGCCCGTTATTTAGTTGAAAAATATTCTAGAATCGGGAACGTACTTAAAATAAACTTTTTGACAGAAAAATAACGATGTTATAACGTATAGATATATTTATTAGTTAAAATATTGTTTACAGATTCGAACCATGTGTAAGCATATCTTTTACTCGATGCCACGATCCATTGTTGGGAAGTGGTTCGATTCCAAGAACGTGGCAAAATATGTTATAATGGTCTACCATGTGAAGTGGTGGAGATCTTAGATTTTTAAAAGCTGCAAAAATTGCGTGATATTGAACTTTATATAACACAAAATTTATTTTAAGTATTCTTATATAAATATAAAATTTCAAAACTACTTACCGGGACCGCGAGCCATAAAAATGGCTCTCATGTCGGACATCTTATCGGTGTATTGGTTGCAACCGTGAATTCCAGACAAAAAGAAAGAAGTTATTGTGCCCAACATATAATAAGGTTTCATCTTTTTCTGGTCATTCAACTGATTTATTCAAAAGAAATATATATATTATTTATTATAATATAAAAAATATTCTTACCAAATATACTTTATATTTCAAAACTAAATGACTATTTTTAAAATGTTTTATTACTTTTAATTTTATTACTTTAAAAATGTTAAAATATGTCACTGAATAACTAAAAATAGTAAAATTAAAAATTTGTTTACTGTCTAGGCCAGGGGTGGCCAACAGCTTTTGCCCCTGGCCGGATTGGAAAGTAAACTTTTTCCACGGGCCGAATAGAGGTTGCCCCTATTTTGAGGTGGTGCGAGATCTCATTGTGGTATCACCCCGTAGAGACTGAATTGTAGATAGAGATTACAGATACATTTCTCACATTATCATGCTTTATCAACACTCTACGCTGTACTTAAGAGATTTGTAATGGAGCATTAACTCTAAACACACAGTTGTTGATTTTTTTTCTTTTAGACGTCTGAATTTTTCATCGAGCTATTTTGAAAGATTGATCGCGGGCGACATAAATTCATCAGACGGACCGGATCTGGCCCGCGGGCCGTATGTTGCCCATGCCTGGTCTAAGCTATACAACTTTTTAATTATACAGTATATACGTACTAATACTATATACTAATAAACTATATTAGTACAATTGAAAAGTTCTATATATTGCATAGAATAAAAGTGTAGAATACAGTATTTATTGACAAGACTATGTCTTGTTTATAAAATCGTACTGCCAGCATATAGGTATGAAGGAGTACATGTCAAGAGTTAATATTTGGCACAGGGTATTTATTAGGTGCCCAAATTATTTGCGCATAAAAAATCCAGATTCGTAGGTAGTCAGGAGACCGAGAACCGAGTCAAAATAAAATACAAAATGGCGATCCTCTTCTACAAACAGGCAAAACAGCCACATCACCCCACCGAAATCAGGTAGGGGAAAGTACCACCCACAGTCATTCTAAGAAGTGAACTCTGACCTTAAGACTGAACACGTATTTTCTTTTATGTTAAATAAAACTTGTAATCAAATTTTGTAAATTTGGGAGTGCTTCAAATATGACGTTAAAACGGTTTTATGCCGTTAGTGGAGTTTTTTTTAACATTATCTAGTATAGTAAAATCGTGGGACCGAAAAAATTTGACGTTATATTAGGGTTTTCGTTACATCCGATGACGTTATAATCGGGTTAAACTGTATATTGTTTGTGCAAAATAAAAAATAATTTCGGACGATACAATAGCCACGATTATTTTTTTCAAAAATGGGAAATTTTCGTTACGCATCGACAAAAATTCAACCGGGCCGACACGCAACGGAGAGAAATTTCGAAATTGCATAGGTTAATTTCAACGAAAATGCATCGTGGCCGGCGAAGTTTGAACGATCGCGCCCAAAAGCAGCGATACCAAAGAAGATTGGAGAATGAGAACGAGATCCGCTTTGAGCGTCAAAGTGATTCCGCTTAGTAGTGTCTCCGAGACATAGTCGTGTCCCAAATACGGTTTTGCCGTTTTACTTGTTTAATTTAACCTTTTTGGTTAATATTTAAATAATATAATATTTTACCAGTTTTACCAGTATTATACAGTTGTCCAACAGAAGAGTAATCTATCTTATTTACAAATCTTTTCAAAATAGACA